TTGCTTCGTGGTGTTGTCTAGTTATTAGTATGGAGTCAATGGTCCAAATAAAATATAGGAACATTGCAGATAGTAACGTTATTCTAAATATGATTGTTTATTTACAGCGTTCAGTGTTTGTTGGCTGACGCCCAGGATGCAGTTCACTGAACGGCCACTGACGGCGCTGTTAGCTACAGTTCAATGTTTCATACAGGAGCTTTAAAGGAGAGTCAGATATGTTCAGATGCAGGTTGGAGCTTCAGTTAGGACTCAGGTGTGTTACCTGGCAGAAGTTGTGTCCACAGGGAGTTGAGACAGGTTCATCGAACAGATCCAGACAGATGGAGCAGGTTAGTTCCTGCTCAGAGAACAGATCTGGAGCCACTGCCTCCGCCATCATCGCACTGTGGGAGGACACGAGACAGGAAGGCAGTGTTAGCGCTGCCCTGCTAACTGTTAGCTGTTAGTTGATTCAGGTGTAGCTCAAGACCTCCACACCTCACACAGGAACCAGGTCCAACTACATTCCTGCTCACATAGCTGAACTCCAACACACTGACAGCAGCTCACAGCCAAAAACAACTGCACACAGGTGAGTCACTGCACACACAGGTGGACACACACACACAGACAGACAGGTTAATACACAGACAGGTGGACACACAGACAGACAGCTCTCTACCTGTCTGCAGTTTCCTCTCTGTGTTTCTGAGGCTGATCGTTACCTGTTTGTTCTGAACAGGTGTGAGCAGGAAGAGGGAGGGGGCAGGGCCTGTGTGTCACCTGTATGTGAGGTGCGTTCAGTGTCACTCTGTTTGGACACATTCAAGGAAAACATCATGTGACCAACAGCGTCACAGGTTGTCTGCAGCAGGAAGACGATTTAATGTTTATATATATATTGAAACTCATTTACAGCTCAGGCAAAAGGGACCACTAACAGTTCATATCAACATATGAATGAAAATACGTCTGAATGCTGGTTTGTTTGTTTGTTTTGTAATTTACAATCTGGAATTTAAAAAACAACTTTATTGAATATAATTTCCTTTCAATTGCAGTTTAAATAAAGATACATTTACAGTAAAACACTGGATAAAGAGAATTTATAATAATACATAAGGTAGACTTTTTTATACTATTACAGTAAGAAATATTAGTACTGTTGATTTTATGGTTAAAGTTGGAGTTTTATTCCATATTTTACCTTAAAAAACAGTTAAAGATGAAATTATCGTCTGAATGCTGTAAAACAATGTTTTACTGTAACTGCTGTTATTGTGATAAAGTTGGAAATAAAGTTTAAGGATGTTTTTATCTTGTTGCACACGTTAATAAGTTGTGTACAAACTGATATCCTTGTTATGTACTTTTACTTTTACTACTGACACACCTCCATTTATCTGCTGTTACCACGACGACGGCACCTGAGCACACTGCTAGCAGTGGTTAGCATGTAGCATTTATACGCCTCCGTTTAAAGAATAATATTCAGTAAACTGGAATAAAAGCATAAAACAGTAAAGTGAGGCGTCGCTCTGCTTCAGACCGAAAGTTCGAGCGTTTCCACCAACAGGCGTTTTATCAGGAAAATATGCAAAATATGTGGAAGAGGAACCATAAACTGATGGTGACGATAATGTTTGTAACACACAGCGGATTAAAACCTTCACATTGAAACAGAACATATTACAGATGTTGGAGGTTTAATCACAGAAACAGAAGAGAGCTGTTTGCTGGAGGCTGTAAAACAACAATAAAACTGGTTAGACCACATTTTTTAGGACAAAGGATGGAAATATTTCAATCCTTTAAATTGGTGCAAAGAACCAACCAGACAAAGTGGTGGAAAGTAACTAATACTTAACTAAGTAACTTTATACTTAAATATTGTGTTAATGGAGACTTTTAGATGAATATTGTAAATAAAAACATTATAATCAGATATTAAAGCAGTGGTTTGTATCCTGTGAACTCTCATTTAATATTAATAATATATGTTTTAATGTTCTAATAGAATCAGACAGACACTTCTGTACTTTTTAAGTTTTGATGTTAATCAGGTTACAGCAGTATTGATTTTTATTAATTAGTCATTATAACATTAATAATCTGCCATCAGCTGTAATGTAATTATTTGCTTTAGTGGAAGAAAAATTAGCTGCAACTTCACCACTAGATGGCGCTAAATCTTACAAACTGGTCCTTTAAAAAAAGTTCAATTAACTTAATTTATTTAAGTTAGCTAAACAATAAATACTTAAGTACTAAATACTTAAATCTAATATGTTTTAAGCTTAAATTGTTTTCTTTAATAAACAGTTTGAGTTGAACTAACTTTTTCTCTCTACATTAAATATTAAAACACTGTAATAATATAAGTTAAGTTTATATATATTAAAAAAATAGTTTAAGTAACAAACAAAAGTTCAAAAAGATTCTTTACTAAGAAGCTTTTTATTCTATTTAAGTTACAGAAACATTCCTGTTACTGGGTATTACTGGTTAGTCTCTTAAAAGTATTATTTTAATTGTAGAAATAGTAAAATTGAGTTAGTGTTACTTTTTTTATTGAATCAGTTTTAACATTTTAATAGTTAATTTATCGCATTTGGTTTTACTCTTAAAGTATTTCAGTGAACTTTAAAGATAAAACTAAATAAACCTGTTAAGTTACAAACAGTATGCTGATGAGTTGTGTTGAAACAACGTGGACAAACTAGTTGGAACAATTTACAATCAGTTTAATCAACTTTAAAACTCTTTAAATTCTCCTGATTGTTCCTGAACTCAACACAGAACACTGATGGAACATAATTTCATTAAAGTCACAACTCAGAGCGGTTGATGCAAAACTTTAGTTTTTACAGTGTACACAGCACTGTATGCTAAGCTAGGCTAAAATCTCACTGTAGGAACAAACAGCACAAATAAAAACAACAAACATCATCATGACGAAGCAACAACGGACAGAAACAACCAGGATCTCATCGAAACGTCGCTGACAAAGGATTTTAAACATCAGCGAGATGTTTCAGGTTTCAGGTTTTTAAAGTATTTTAACTAAAAGCTTCCAGACGGCAGAACTTTCTTACCTTTCTCTCTGAGAGTCGACCTGTTTCTGTCTCAAATCCTGAAACTCTGGTTCCTGTCAGCCTGTGAGGTCATCAGTGGGCGGAGACTCAGTCAGGAGTGATGACAGGTGGAGAAAGCCGCCAGGTGAGTTTCTGTTACTTCAGTGTGTTTATATCGATTCATTTAATTATATTATCTTAAGTAAAAATATAAACGCAATAAAATATATTGATAAAACAAACACAAATATATTAAATTTATAGAAAAGATAAAAGAAAACAAACTCAGATTTATCCTTCCATTAGTGAAACTTAAAATAAACAACAGTAAAATACTGAAGTTTTTGTTGCATTGTGGGTAAGTTTTATATTACATTTGAGTACATTAATGTTATAATATCAGTAACTAAAGATGATATAATTATTATTAGCAATAATAATCAGTAGTAGTTATTATTATTATATATAGGACAGACAGGAGGACAGACAGGACCCAGCAGCACGGACGTGTGTGTGTTAGTGTTACAGTGTGTGTTAGTGTTACAGTGTGTGTGTGTGTGTGTTAGCGTTCAGGTGTGTCTGTGTTACAGTGTGTGTGTGTGTGTGTGAGAGAGAGAGAGATCTGGTGAATCCTGTTTGACGGTTTCTGTTCCTGCAATATGATTGGTTGATCCATTAATCACCTCTTTCACCGTACGGAAGCTCGTTGTAGCCAAAATAATAATAATCACTAAAAGTTAAATTAAGTGAATTGATTTAAGTTACCTAAACAATAAATAGTAGTTAGTATAGTTAGTTTAACTAAAAACAACAAATGTTGAAACAGTTTAAGTAACACAAACTTAAGTTACAAAAAGATTCCTGATTTAGTTTTTATTTTCACAGAATAAAAGAAACTAAATTAGTGTCTAAAGCTTCCTGATTAATTTACAAAGTTTAGTTAATTTTACCTAAATGTTTTAATTTAATCAGTTTGAGTTGAGACTCAATCAGCTGTAAAACTGTTAATCACTTATTTTCTTCTTTTACACATTTTTGTTTTGTAATAAATAAGTTTAATGCATCAGTAAAAAATATTACTGATTAAATAAAATAAAGTAAAATTATAAATGCAATCATTAAGCTCATTTGTTGGAGTACATGGATCAATGATAGTGATTGTTTATAGAACTGAAACGTTCGTAATGGTTCATTAAAAACCACTGATTTACATGTTGTGTGTGTAACAGGTGTAAAATGTAAACCAGAGACATTGAGGTTTCAGTAGCAGTTAGCATTGGAGCTGACACAGTATAACGTAAATCAGTCAGATTGATTTAATTTGACTGAAGCTAAGCTAACGGTTTCCTCCTGTTCTTTGTGAAACACACAGACAGAAACAGTTGAACTGTTTTAGATCTTTTATACAATCACTGCACAGAAAATACGGTAAATAATCTGGTTTCCCATCATCCTCTCTGCTGCTCCACAATAAAATACAACAGACGGGTCCTGGTCCTGGTCCTGGTTCTTCAGAGTTCCTTTAGAAGTCTTTATAATGCAGCAACCTGAACACAGACAGACAATAAAGAGTTAAGATGGTCGTTTGTGTCGATGCGTCTCTTGGTCGTCAATCAAACAATTCAATTCAATTTTATTT